AATTTCATGTGTAACAAATATTTCAAAGCCAATTACAGTTTAACATTCCACAGTATTATTACTGCATTTAATTTAGTTATGTATCTTATAGGATCCATTAATACTCTAAGTGTTTATATAAGAAATGTCATAAATACTCAAAGTTTCCTTCTGAAAAACTGTGACTAGCTTTCCCACTTTCATTTAAAACACCAATTATAAGGTTTAAACAATTAGATAAAATTTGCTATTATGCTGGCTGCACTTCACAAAAGAAACTAACTTTCCCCCATAGGTATCATATTTTAATGTCTCAAATTGTTAAGTCATGTTATGGTCAAATGCAGTGGGGTTAAGTTTTTTTTCAGTTCATGTCAAAGTTGCCAAATACTTTTTCCATGAGATCTTAATGGAAAAGAAATCCATTTTCCTGGAAACAGAGTTTCCTGAAAAGATGGACTTTTACAGAGAAAAGAAGGAAAAGATAAAAAATACAGACTGATTTTGATTATTTGTTTTTCTCCCCTTCTCCAAGAATCCTAGATTCTGAGCCAAGTTATCCATAGGAAGGGAGAAAAATTTTCCTCTTTGGGTTTTCCCTCTGTTTCTGTCCATATCAATTAACTAATTTCCTATTCTTGAATGTGTCTCAGCCACCACCCAGAGGGTGAAGGTTCCAGTATAGCCTCAGCCTGCTGCGCTGGTGGAGGCCTCTTTATTTAGAGGCTGGAGCTAGACCATGGCTGCAAACTGCTGGAAAATACAGCCAACTTCTCTCCTCACTAAAAAAGCATCAAGTAAACATTTTTAATTCACTGCCTTTGGTAGTACTGCTCTTTAATGTGTTTTAGTACTATGCCAGAACATAAAGCCTACTACCTTTAAATAGGACATTAGGAGTTACTGCAAAACTCCTCCCTTTCAGCATAAGAACAGCAAGTTAAAAGCCTTTTACATATTGCTGGAAATGAGATAATTAAAAGCTAATTTTCTAGCACCTTTCAAACATTTGTTTGTGTAAATAATGCATCAATATAAAACAAGAAACTGGTCAGATACACTAGGACCGTTGATTACTCAAATACAATGTTACAACACTGCCATTTGAGGACAAAAGTGAACTTCCTTCACTTAAGTGAACTTACTGAAATAAGTGAATACTTTCAAAGGCTTTTTATATAAATTGTGGTTTGTGACAATGCTAAATGCTACATATTGCACAGGAAATTTACTGAGTTTGGGCAGACAATCTTAGCTTAATTCTTAGTCTAAATTTTCAGATGGGATTGCTACCACACTACAAGCTTCCATTTTCATACTAAGAGTGTTAACTAAAACCATTATTTAATACCTTACAGATTATAAAGCTATTACTTTTTGCATCAAGTTATTTCCACAATCAATATATCTGCAAGTATTATGCATCACCAGAAGTGGTATCACACTGAGAGCCTGCAACTGGTCAAACACTTGAGTGTAGCAAGGGGCAAGGTGTCCAAAATTTCAGAGTAACCCACCTTGCTAAGGAGTTCAAAAAGTGAGCTCTTTTTCCCTGAGTCTTCTTATCAGAAAAAGCTACCAAAATCACCTTTAGGATAACAAATTATATTTCATCTGGTTTAGACCGTGTAAAACTGCAAATTTGGTTACTCATTCAAGCTCCATACAAATCTTACATATTAATTTCTCTACAAACTGGATTCAAGGGTTTGAGGAGCTCGCATTTCTTTGAAGCTGTTTGGTGCCATTGCATCATGGCAAGATGGAAAAAAAGTAAAATTTTCTAGTAACATTCTCCCTGAGCTTTCAGACTGCCACCTCTTCTTCTTACAAAATCTTGACAGTTATTAATGAAATTGAATATCCAACTTCCTTCACTTAATTGTCAAGTTACAGTATTTGCTGTGAAAAAAGAGCATCTGCAAATAGGAGGCAGGCAATCACATAGTTTCCAACAGTGGTAAAGAAAACCAAAAACTAGAACCTGTTTGCATATAACAACCATCCTCAATTTTAGCTTTAATAATTTGTAGAACATTAACAAAAAACACACAGGAACAAAACCGAAATGCACAGAACACATACAGTGTCAGTGGCATTAACTCATCTTAGACCAACTGATACAAATATATATTCATCATATACAAGGGTATTCCCAATTGTTCTGCCTTTCTTCTGACTAGACATTAGCAGTGCCAGTATGCCAACTAAAACCCAACATAGTACCAAAATGGCTGCTTTTTGCTGAACACATGAACATAACTGAAACACAAGAATGGGTCTTTTTCAAAACATTGTCTACGGGTATTTACAATTTATGTTACGAGTTTTATGACTTACAATTTTAGATTATTATGTCCAGTCAAAAGCTAGCGTAGGTTTTTAAAGTAATTTTCTGGAGCAGAACCAGATAAAGAGTCAAACACCACTAAAGAAGCTAGGAGAAAACCTAATGTATAAAAGGGCAAGCAGTAGGGACATCAGTAAGGCATCTGAACACCTTGTGCCTTATATATAGGCAGCAAGAACACTCCTGGTATCACAAGAGCAGAGCTTCTTCAGCCAAGGTGCACAGCAAGTTCATTCCCTCTCCTATTTGAAGTGGCAGGCCCTGGATTTCTTGATTGCTGAAAAAGCAACCACAATTAGAAAAAATCCATACATTTACTTATGAACCATTTGTTGTTAAAAATAAACACCGACAAACAGTAGGAATAGACAAGGGGTAACATTGCCAGGATATGGGAAATGTCAAAGGGCTTGTGATTTTACTTGGATAATAGCCATTCACCATGAGATTCAGGAAATGCAACGAAACCCAAATCCTAATGAACAGGAAATAAGAGTTCTGGTCTTCACTATTGTCTCTGTTAGGCCACTGACCTACAGGTCACAGAAGAAGCCACTCAGCCTCAGTCTTGAAGAGGTTCAGCCAGAAATTTAGAACAGATAAAAAGTGGTAAACAACATAATTTGTCTCCTGGGAAGGAACAAACTTATCTCGGGATGTCTGCCCAGACTTGTGGATATGTGCAATCATTTTATAGAACATTCAGGGAATGTGCCAAAGGTAGAAAAGGTGAATCAGGACATAACGTGTCAGAAAATGGAGAGGAGGTGGCCTAAAAAGGAGTCACTAGTGTAAGCTGCAAGATAGTCTGCTTGTTTGGCACAGCCCTGCCTGATCACTATTGTCTGTCCTATGTTAAGTCCTACTTGTAATACTCCCTTTGTGGCCTTGCTCTCTATTCTGCACAGGTGTGATCTGCAAAGAAACTTGAGGGTCAGTCAACAAGTATAGGGAGATCTGTATCTGGAAAGACTAAGGTCTAAGACAGTGACCACATGCCTCAAGCCTAGGCATCAATATAGAATGAACTTAAAGCCTGTGTTAACATTTGTGTCAGTGAATGCTGTCCTGCCCGTGAATCAGGAGAGGGCTGGCATACCTTTCACCAGCAAACTTTCAATACCCATCAGCTGTGGAAGAACTTAATGAACCTGTTTTCTTCTTATTCACCTAAGTGCTGTCAGCATGTTTACATGGTACCAGTAAAGGCAATGGCTTTTCTTTGTCACTGTCTGTGTGACCAGCCATACCCTACATACACTGCCAAACTGGGAAAGTGTGCTCACACTCACTACTCACTGGATATGCAGACAGGAGCAGTGGAAAGCAGACCAAGAAGTGTAGCTTAGAGGGCACTAAATATTGGTTCCCTCCACAAATATGTCATGATTATCCATTGGAATTACTGTGCATGGGTCCAACCCTCATAGAACAACAGTCTCGCATTACACTATAATTTTTACAGAGCCTAGAGAACATCCGGTTATCTTCAAGCTTTCTTCGTCCTTCAATTGTGTGACGTTCCCAGCCTTTGCATTAATTCATCTTTTGCCAGACACTCAAGACTTCACATAATATTTTGAAAGATAAAAATGCAAAAGCAACCTAACTTCAAAATTATGCATGGATGAAGGAAAATGTTTCCAGCTTACCTTTACAGCAAAATATCTGATAATTAGCAGCCAAGAAGCCAAATACACAAATACCAGTTCTGCAAAATTTCTGTAGCTATAACTTGCTGCTTTTAAAAGCAATTAGATTTACTAAGTTTGCATCTTAATCCCTAACAAAACTCCCCTTTTATGACAGTTTAAGACCAAAAAAAGACCTCATATGAACCTCAAGACCAGAGGAATGCTTTTTAAAATCAGTATGCAATTGTTTCTGTAAATTTGTTTCTCCTTTTTTAAGCATGCTGAGTCTCAAGGGACATAGAAGGGGCAAATGCACTTTTGAGCATTACATTTTACCTGTCCAGTATTTAGTATTCATTTTATACTTCTACCTTATTCTTAAACTTTCATCGGCCAAAAAAAAAGGCCATTGCAATTTTTAGAAATTCATAGTTCCACACCTTCAGCAGAGATATAAAAGTATGTAGGATATACACAACTAAACCACCACTGCCCTGTATTATAAGTCAGTTCTTGTAGACCAAAGAATTACATAAAATTGTCTGCCTTAAAGCAAACAGATTCCAGCTGCACCTTTCAGTGCAGCCACACCATTAAGAATCCCATCTCATTAGGAACTTCATGACTGTAGTGACAATAGCATGATTTCCAGATCATTAAAGACAAGTTATTCATACCAGTATTTACAGTATTTCTAAACACTGATTTGAGAAACTAAAACATCTTGTTATAATTCATCAATTAATTTAAAAAAAAGCACGAAAATCCACACTTTGCAAACACTACCAGTACTGGAATTTGTCAATTTATCACAGTTTATTTTACCATGAACAATAAAATTTTAAGGGTGTCTACTTTCTTGGTGCCAGCAAGCATTACTGATACATTACACAGAAAATTTTAAATGTTGTTTTGTATTAATAAACTTGGATAACAGCATTTTTTCAACAGCTCTTGGAATATTACATGCTCTGACCTTATACCATAAGATGATAAGACCAGGAGTGAAAGAAAGAAACCTCAAATAATGCACTTACTTATTCAGTGTGAGGTCAAGGATGAATTTAGAGCCAAAGGCCTCAATCTGGAAACTTGCCTGGGCCAGATGTACAGCCTGTAAACAGAAACAGTTGTCAAAATTTTCACTGAGTTTAATATATAACAAATGTGACTGTGAAAAACAAAGTTATGGAAAACATGCTCATTTTCATGAATCTCATGGGCATATGAAAACTTCTGCCCTAGTACCAAATTCTGATTCAAAAGGATTTTCCTTTTCAGTGGGAAGTAAATGGTACCTGAAAAGCATACTTTCAAATACACACTCATCTGTCTTAAAAAGAAAAAAAAAAGAGAAAAAAGTTTCACACAAATGTCTGTATTTTGCCATAACCAGATGGCTATGTAACATAAGTAATGTAGTATACTGTTCTTTTAATTTAGTTATTGCAATCATTCCATTTAAAAGGCTGAAATAATTAAAGCATTTGTGATACACTTTCAAATATTAAAATCATGGCAAGGCTCATATTACACATTATTAAAAACTTCTTCAAAGTAATCCCTTCACAATTAATGGCTTTGTACTTGGCACTGTAGCTAAATCATTATAAAGAATACTGATGCTGGTCATACAACGAATCAACATCAGCTTGTCTTGTATAGGGAGTTAAGTTTAACTTCAGTATATTCTGGTCTTGTCAGATAAATTGTATTCTTTATTTCTCTCTATACTGTAATAACTGTAGCCAAAGACATTTAAAACATGCTTATCTGTTTTCTAGAAAAATAGGGAGATAAGAGATGATTCAAGAATTTCTTTTTGTGAAGAGCTGTTCCAGCAGGGTTGAAGAGATTAGATCTGAATTTCATACTATTTTTCCTGATAATGTTCTAATAAAATCATGCTTACTTATACATTAATTTGATACAGTATTAATAATCACACAAAGTGAAATATTATGACTAAGCCCATTAGTCAAAAGAGAAAAAACTCCCTATTTTTTATTAAACACCACAATTAACCCTCAGATATGTCACATAAAAATATGAAGTTCTAGCTAGTTTACAGCACAACTTAAATAGTAAGAAGGTTGGCTTTTATAGCCCACAGTTCTGTTCTCTTCTGGAAATTTCTCCACAAAGGATATATCCTTTATGTTTCTACTCCATTCCTGCACTACACAAAGCAGCGCAAATTTTCATCTTCCTTCTCAGCAAAGTTATTAATCATCTTTCAGAAAATTCTTCAATATAATTTTTTAAGTTGCTATTGTGACTAAAATCAGCTGTAACATTTCCTGTATTACTTCATCATTCTTTGCTGCCAGAATTATCATTTCCCATTCAATAGGATCACAGAGCTTTGTTGTCAAGCTTCTTTTTTAAAAATAAAAGTCATGTACAAATATTTTAAAAACCTTTAATGCCATTAAACAATCTTAGCTAAAGCCTGTTTTTGTTCATTTAAAAAAATACAATGACTCTAAATGAGAACTAAAAAAAATAATATTCCTAGCTGATATCTAAAACCACACAGAAGCAAACCAGTACTAAGCTTTCTCCTGGTGGTATTTTTTTGGTAAATATATATTGCTATCTCACCAGTTCACCAATTGACTAATACTGGCCTGGCAGATCTGAGTTTACAGCTGCTCTGAATCAGCAGAGCAAAACAGTTTAAGTATAAACACAAACAGGTGTCATGATCAGAGAGACTCTGATGATCAGGTTAAATACATGCCCAGCAGAAGAGGCTTTTCCACCCCAAATCCACTTTTTTTAAAGAAATTAAGTAAAGGAACAAGTATCACAAGGAGCTTTCCAAGCACCTGTTCATGACAAAAATCTAATTATGTTTTCAAAACACACATGTATTAACTAAATTTTTAAAGCATAAAAATTTGTTACAGTAAAAGGACTGCAATTAGTTTTATTCAATTTAAGAGTTACACAAGCTACTGTTTTGAATCTCCTCCACATATAACATTTACCTAAAAGGATGTGTCTTCATATATATACCACAAACAAGATTTCAATGTTAAATATCTGCAAACTTTACAAGAGCATGAACTATTCCAATTAAGATCATTCTGAAACATGAGAAATCTCTCCCTAGGCATCAGCTACTGATTTTAGTGGCAGCTAGACAGAAGACTAGTTTGATCTGCTATAGTCTTCCTATCGTCCAATCAAGCCTGTTCAATGATAGCTGTGTATCACCCTTCAAGTTTCTAAGCCAGAAACTATGTATTCTTTATATTTCTGCAATTTCAAATTACTAAAAGTAATTTTTATTCTTGGTCTGCAATATCTTAAAACCCCTTTCTCTTGCAGAATTACATACAGTAACATTGCTATTTCTGAAAACAACTACTTCTGTGTATAAAAACACTACTTGCTATCCATTAGTGTGACTCACTAACAGATGCAGCCTGCACACAAAAGCAATTGCTGCAAAGCAGCAATTTGATGACCTGCAGCAGGGTACGCTCTCCACCAAACTCAGCTTAAACCATTGGTTACAAAAAGATTTTAAATCCCTGCAGTTCAGCAAAAGCACTGTTTTGAATTCAGGTGAATGCACTACAGCAAATATAGACTCTCTTAAGCCAGTTTAACAATAGATAACCACTCCCAGAAGCCATAAACCAGCTGAAGGTAATGAGACTAAATATTCAATCCTGAAACATTATTTTCCTGCAGTAAGTTAGCACAGAAAGCTACCAGTGAATTATCACCAAGTGTTTTAAGCATTACAACCATCATGTACCACAGTGAGGAGGAAATATTTCAGAAACGTATCTGCAATTCTGTTATCCACTTTATAATTTCACTGTATTCTCTCATCAGCTACTGTGTAATACAAATACCTGAAATATAATCTGAAATACAGTGTTCTTCTCATCAGCATAGAAATATAAATTCCAACAAGAATATAATGTAAATCAGCATGTATTTTGAAGAACATACATGTTTTCACAGGAAAAATATAAAATATCATCCTCTTGTATGGCTTGTGTATATGCAAATGCTCACACCTGCAAAAGTATCCTTTATTTACATACAGAGGTGACCAAGTTCCTTTGTCTGTGTTTATCATCTAAAAACCTCTGCAGAGGTTCCTGCTTTGACAGCTGTAGCCTATTCCAATGGCAAAGCTCCAAAATAATATAAAGTTTTTCTTCAGCAAAGACTTATTGATGATGCATAGAGATGGGGGTTGAAGAAAGGTCTGAGTCTTTCAAATTCTTCCTGTCCTCATACCCAAATTGAGGGGGGAAAAAAAGTCTGTTTTTTCCCTGTTCTGGGAGGTCAAATTACTGGTATAGTCATTGTAATAAGAGATTCTTCATACGAGGGACATTCTAAGAGTGCTATAGCTGCTTATGGAAAGTAGTAGCTCTCAGAGTTTTTTCCAAGCTAAAAATTCATATGTGTAAAGAATTCCAGTTTCTTTCAAATCAGTCATTAGGTTACAGTATCTTTCAGTATAAAAATGGCTGTAACAGGAATCTCAGTTCTACTGATCTATGTCACAACTTGAATCCTTTCATTGTTTTCATTATCACATTTGGGCATCATTTATTGATAATTCATTTTTTTCAGACTTTCAGGAAATTTACAATCTTCATCACCAAAAATAAACTACTATATTGGTTTTACTTTACAGTAAAACTATGCCAAATGCAATAATGTGTTATCCCTTCAAAAATACTAAGTAAGTCCTGTCACAAGTCTTTAAACAAAGTAACAGCCTTATTTAACAGACTAATGAGTCTTTTGCTATATTTATGCAGATACAATCTCCAAAGCACAAGCTCATTGCTTTTAGAAATCTATTTATTCATACAGTTCTGCTGACTAAAATAATGGCCAAAAGCTACCTCTCTGAGTTTAGAGCTGAGCAAGGGGTTTCATCACTCTCATTATAGAAATAGATATGTAAGTCAGATTTAGATGGATTTTACACCATCAAAACGGTTTTTTGCTCTAGACCTCCATTCTAATAATAGCCTAAGTTTTGTCACGAATCAATGTGACTTACTACATATTAGTTCATAATCCTGCTTTCAGCTTTTTGGCCTGTCCTCAGACCCCAAAACAACCTTCCACTACTCCCTGGAAATAAAGAATTTCATATTGAAACAGAATACATAAATGTCCCAGCAGCATGTGAAAATTGATGTTTAAAACATACAGCATTTCAGAAAACCTCCTACTGATATTTTCCCTCTGGACTTTAACAACAGAGGAGTTACTTTTACACTTGAACCCCAAGCCTTGAAGACTGCTCTTTGGAAGAAAGGTTACGGGTATGTGAAAAAGACGCAGATCTGCCCCTGGAAGCAATCCTGCTGCTGTGTATCTAAACCCCGGGGGCCAGAGCTCACCATTCTCTCCCAGCATGGCAGTACTTGGACACCCTTCTGTAGTAACACTGGCCTCCAAAATCATATCCCTCTTGAGGATTTTTTCGTAAAACTCTACAAAGTAGTGCATCCCTATCTTGGGCCACTTTCCTGCAGTACTCAGCTTCCCACAAATGCTAGAAAACCCATACACTTAATTTATTCCTATTTCGGAACAAGGCATAGCAAGTACAAGCTTTGTGCTACCTAATACTAGGTGATTGTGTGAAGCTCATGAAAGAACCCAGAAACACATTAAAAAAATTTAAGAAGTTGTAGAAATAACATGACCTGCATTTCAGCTAAGAAACAAAGATCTAGATCTAGTTGCAGTTGGCATAAGGAAAATCTCCTACTCTGAGAAACAAAAGACAGGAAGACCAATTTTAATCCTCCTGTTAGTAACTACTGAAGACACAGAGTTAAGATAAGCCTTTTGCATTAATATAAATTCAGTAAAGAATAGAAAAAAAAAGTACATACAATCTTCCATTTACAAGTAGAGCAAACTGAAGCTGCATTAGAGAAAGATCAGGGAAAAAGAAAGAAAAGACAAAGCCAGCTGAAATGCTACAAAGATTCAACAATCTAATACATATATATCACATGGACTCCATTCATTATTTTGACCAGTTTTCATTAGATGGGGACTAAAAATAAAAACACAGCCTAAAGTAGGCAAGTAAAAGGAAGACTAACCAGTGCATAGGATTTTTTTCTGGATTTTAGGAAGAATTGACATGATGCCACTCTTAAGTTTACCAATTGTGATCTTTTGTCTTTGAAAAAAAAAAAAAAAAAAAAGCTTTTTTTCAATACTGCTTCCTTTTAAATGGAATAGAGTTGCTTTCCTTCACCTTAAGGATGTTTTTCTGCTCAATTTTCATATGCTGCATTCTAAAATTACATAGAGGACTGAGACAGCACTGTACCTCAACCTCTAAAGCATCTCAACCTTTAAAGCAAGGCAACATACCAAAAATTATTGCATCCACTGGGCAGGAGTATATTCATTATGGAAATGACAAACAGCTGACCTGATCAGAAACACCTGGAGTTCCATCCTATGAAAAATAGCTCAAAATAAATCAAACCTTTTGGGCAAAGGGGGAACATCTTCATAGGCAAAAGCACTCTTCCTTATTCTTTCCTCTTTAGGATCTGCAAAACAGTTTTCCTAACACCTCTCTCCTTCCCAAAATTACATTAACAGCTTATAATTATGCATGAAGAGATGACTTCTTTACAGCTCCTGAAAACGTCTGATTCAGAAACTGTCCAGCAGATACAGTCAGCCTCCATATGAATCCAGTCTGAGTTATTTTCCACTCAAAATTTGCTGAGGTTGCCCTGGGCTATATTTCTCCAGAAATCCTATTATCTTCAAACACCTTGCATTGCAGGATTTTTCCTTCTGCTGGCCACTGTAAGTACTTGCTCCTAGCCTTTTGAGACAAGCTGTGCCCCAAGCAGTCTTCCTGCTAGCTCCTAAAAATCTTGGGTATGTAGCCTGTGAAAATGAACTAAAGCAGTCATCTGGTTCAATAAAGAGATTAACAGTTCCTTGAAAATACTACCTCCACCTGCAGAAGCTTAAAAAGAAAGAACAGAGGTGACTCAGATATCTTCATAAATTTTAAGGATTCCTGTGAACTTCTTCAGTGTGTTTTTATAAATAGATGCTCAGTTTTAAGCATTTTACACTAAAAATAACTTCAGAAGAACTCAAAACCAGCTAGCCTTAATTCAACTATGAGGAAACAGATACACAGAATTAAGAGTTTTCAAGCATCAAGTATTTAAAATTTGCTTTTTTAAGAGCACAAAGCTAAAATAAAGTATATATTAGCACTCTGCCCCCTTGGAGATAGATCACTTTCTCAAAACTATAGTGGACATTTCTTTCTTTTAGCAGTGATAAAAAGCTTTTTGTAAGAAGAAATGTGAGAGGGTCTTGATCACAAACACCTTCTCAATATGATGACATTTCACCAAAAGGGGATAGAGAGAATCAATGCTAAGAAAGTAACTCATTATTTATGGGGTTTTTTTTATTCTCTCCTACACTGTTTTCTCTCCAGTGTTTAATTTCTACCAACATTTCATGAAGAACGTTGAAGACACTTACTTTTGGGACGTGATTTTTAAAAAAATATTTTGAATAATTTTACTTAATTGTATTTCTCCAACTTCTCCAACCTCTTTCTTCCCACATGCACACCATTTCTTCTAGTCTCACCCTTTTCTTATAGTGACTCAGCATTTCTGAGGCATTCAGGCCTAATCTCACAAACTGGCCATATTACATTATTCTGAATGCTGTAGAGAAGTTCCACAGAAAGAAGTCTACTGAATATTATCAACAGTTAGGGACTGTTTCCACATCATATGCCTATAAATAGAACATTAAGGTTGACAAGAAAATGCTGTTTAAAATGTATAGTCCCAGTAAAAGAACAACAAAAGCATTTTTTCTTCAACATTTTCCACTCTATACATATATAAGACTGTTACATGGTATTAAAAAAAATCCTAAATACAGATATCATTCTTTACCTAACTATATTTTGGCTACTTCTCTTTATTACCAATGTAAGATAAATCAAAATCTCACAAGTAGGATTTATTATTATATAGCATTTCTTTTAATTTTGGGAAGGATAAAAGCCAGTATTGAAAAGAGTCCTCCCCCTGAGGTATCTTTCATTCAATTGCATTGTTTTGTTTATAGGTTGTTGTTTGGGTTGTCTTCCTTTTACACCTTTCAGACTTACCCCAGGCCCCAGTTAAGCTCCACAGAAGAGATTATAGCAAATCTTAAACAGAAGAAAATAATATAATAACAAATATTCTAGCTGTTGTAAAGTAGATGAAAAGTCAAAGAATTCCTTCATGCAAGGAAATGCACAAAATGCAAGTTAGGGATGAGGGTGTCAGGTACGATGATCCAGAAGCAAGACATACAAAAATCCACCCAGACAATGAACATAATCAACTCTTTCCTCCAATTAAATATAACAATAAATATAAAACAATAGAAATTTCATGCCGGAAGAATGAAGTCAACATAATGTCACTCTCCATGAAAGCCCAGGCCTAAGGAACCCTTCTGTGGGAAAAACTGCAGCATTAGCATTCCCTGTGTTTAAAAGGGACACCGTGAGTAGAAAGAAGATCCACTTTACACAACAGTCAGCAGCAAGCATGCCCAAGGAAATCAATACCAATTCTGTCAGCACTGATTTCTGCAGAGCTTTACTCCAACATGTAGATACAAGGTAGGGCATAGGAAGGAATAGCAACGCTCTCGTGGGCAGTGCTGGGTAAGCGTAGAGATTGCACATTGTCCCCAATGGATTTCAAAGAAACCAACACACAGGACCATGGAGGAAGGATTATTCCCAAAAGCAAGTCTGCAGACAGTTTTAAATCCCTTTCTTCCCAAGAGGGAACAGCAAGACCTCAGTGTTTTAAGTGTATTTAAAAGAGTGGAGTCACTTGAAGGAGTATTAGGTCTGAATGTAATGTTCTCTTAAGTAGCTCCAGTTTCCAACAAACAAAAAGCTTTCCTGTGCCAACCATAACATATTGGTGTATTGAGATGCCTCCAAAGGCAGACACCAGTATCCATGTTAAGTAAGCTAGGAAGCAATATTTCTTCCTATTTAAGACATAAAAATTATACAGATACCTCAACCTTTTTTTTTCAAAGATTATTCAGTACCTTCTTATTAATTTCACATCTGAAAGGGCACATAATCAATATCAACGTAAGGACATATAACATGTATTAAATTCATTGTCTAAAATTTCAAGAGAAATTCAATAGGCTATTCAATAGGTAGGAACTCCATTATAGCTAAGTCCCCCAGTAATATCGTATGCACTGCTTTGCTTTATTTCTCTTGCCTACCTCTTCATATTCAAACCATCTTTACCTTCACTTTACCTTTTACCCTGCAGGAAGAAATTAACTTTTTAAACAAAGATTTATAAAAATAGGATTAAATAAATTTAAAGGGTACTAAATGATATAGTTTAGACAGGTTTATTCCTTTACAACACTATTCCACAAAACCAAAGTTTGTTCAGTTCTATATAATTTCAGGGGGGAAAAGAACCCAAACAACTTGCTAGCTACATCCATATAAAATGGAATATTAGATCTTGCCACTAAAAATTAAGAATGCAGGTACTGTGTTTGACAAAAAATGGTAACATTAACAGTGTTCTTCAATGGCCATACAGTGGCAGGAGATGAATGCAGCATTTGTTAGGTAGTACATAGTACACTCAAAGCTAAGTAACTCATGCTTCAAGTTTAGGATTTCAAAGAAGAAATCCTATGCAGATACATTTGCAGTCTAGAGCTATTTTGGAAGAAACAGTTTGTTGATACAGGTGTACCAAAAGTGAAGACACCAGAATCTATGCTGATTAGTCAACTCAACTTCACCTAATTCTCATTTGTTTTATCTACAGTTTCTGAACCATTCTGAAATTCAAAATAATTATCTTTAAGTTAACACAAGGGAAATTACATTCTTGTTTAATTACATGTACTCCCTTAATTCTTAAAAATTGTGATAGGGACCACCATTAAGTCTTGAACATCTACAGATCAAAACAAACACAGTTGCACATCACATGTTTTGAAAAATCTGCAGATGAGCCTTTTTACCCTACCTTGTCATGTTTCTGCTGGTGCCTTGCCCTGGTATCCAGGATATGGTAAGGGGTCTCAGAGTCTCTGTTGATGTAATAGATTAGTCTTGAAGGCAGTGTGATTTCTTTCTGGATTGCATTGCTGTAGCTGTTATTTTTACTGTTACTGCTGTTACTCTGTTGAAATGTACTCTCTTCATCTGCCAGTACTTCCTCTATACCGCTTGCTGTTTCATTCCAATGCAGGCCTGGGGAAGCAAGATATGCCAGCCGTGAATTCCATGGCAGAATGTGTTTATTTCCATTAAAAAGCTACATATTTGCTTGCAGTTTTCTAACATTTTACTAATCACTCAAGCCAACAAAAAGATAGCTTACTCATTGAGCTAGATTTGATTCATTATTCACACATAAAACGGTTTCAGAGAGAACATGATTTATTTAATTGCATTAATCTACATTTTCATATGCAGTCATGGGTTATAAATATTTTAATACCTCTCAATCTTCAGTAAGAAAAAAAAACTCAACTTAATGGATATGCAGTTATCCCCTACCCCCTCTCACACAGCTAAATTCTTTCACAAAAAAAAAATATCTACAAAAAGCTAAGAATACTCCCAGTGTTGCTAACATACACTGAATTCAGAGTTCACGTGCACTGAATGCTAAACTTCCTATTATGTAAAGGAAATTGATTTCTACTTCTTTTAACTTTGACAAGAGCCCTTTCCTTCAGTAGCAGCTTTTGAAAAGAAATGCTGGACCTTTCTTCATTAAAATTTCAAGACAATCAACGCGATGTAACAACATAACAATATTACAAGGTAACGGCAATGTACCAACAATAATAACATGATGTACAAACAGACTGCATTCAGAGCATTCCTCATGTCACCTATATACAACCAAAAGCAAATAAAAAACAAAGCACACACGAAAATCCGACCCCGAGCAGACAAACTAGCGGATCGCCGTCCACATGCACCGTGACACATACAAAGACCACCGGAGGTTTCTGTGTCGCATCCCTCACGGGCGTCTTTCCACGCACAGCATCCCTACCCAACACACTGCAGCACCGGCACCGCACGTACCCCTCTTTTGTCTAAGCAAGCAAGCCAAGGAAATCTTCACTGAGCCCCGGGTTTACACACGCCGACACAGACACGCACACAAAGCTGGGAGCGGGGAGGAAGGAGGGAATGGTTGAAGGGAAATGGATGTTGCCGGGGTTCGTCGCGGGGGACGGCGAACGAGGGGCCGCAGACCCCTCAGGCACCGCAGCCCCGCCATACCCACCGGCGGCCGCTGCGGCCGCGCGGGCCCGGGGGCAGGAGGAGCCATGGAGGAGCAGGAGCAGCGAGACGAGGCGGCCGAGGAGCGCCAGGAGCGCGGGGCGGCGGCGGCCGCCGCAGCCAGACTGCCGCAGGGAGCTGCTGCCGGGCGGCCTCATGGCTCATAGCGCCCCGGGGCGGGGGCGAGCAGCGCGGCGCAGCCCTCACGGCCGGCGGGCTGCGCCCGGGGGTCGCGGCGGAGCGGCGCGGGCGGCTCCCCGCAGCGGCACCGCCCGTGCGGCTCCAGCCGCCGCCGTGAGGGACACGGCGGCACCTCAGCGCGGGGGCGGGCGGGTCCCCGCAGCGGCACCGCCCGTGCGGCTCCAGCCGCCGCCGTGAGGGACACGGCGGCACCGCCTCGACACCTCCGCGCGAGCGGGCGGCGGCGCGCGCGCACCTTCCGCGCCCGCCCCCGGCCGCGCGGCCCCGCGCACGCGCGCCGGGCCGGGCCGGGCGGGCGGCGGCCGCTGTCCGATGTGCTGCCCGCGGGACCCGCCCCGCCCGCCGCGGGGCCGCCCGCGGGGCACCGAGAGCGCGGCGCCGCCTGCCGGCGGGGTGAGCGCCGCCAGCTGCGCCCAGCGCTGCTCCGGGCCGGCGTCCCGCGGCCGAACGGACTGAGGCGGCCGCTGGGAGCGGGCGCGGCACTGCCCGCGGCATAGCGCGCAGACCGCTCCCCTGACTTGGGCAAACAGCTGGGTTTAGGAACTGTTTGAAAGAACTTTCAGGCAGGGTGAAATTGCTCTGAAATCCATCAGCCCTGAGCAAAGTTCGGAAGTCCCCGGAGACACTGAACAGCAGCAGGGGCAGCTTGTTCTCCTGAGCGCCGGGGCAGGCCGGTGTTGGGGCCCCGGGCAGCTCTGCGAGCTGAGCCATTCCAGAGCCGGCTGTCCCCAGTACTGCAGAGGGATGCACATGCAGCCCCTGCTCCGAGTGCTGTGCGGAGCTTCAGGCTTCCCCCGCTCCTCCCTCCCACCGCCTCCAGCTCACAGCTCTGTTCTTGCACCCCCCCGGCGCTCTCTTCAGTCCCTGGGCCCCGCTCATCCTCACTGACTGCAGCTAACCCCTGCAATGAAGGGGGTGGAGGGGAGAACCAAAGCTACCAAAAAAAGGTGTACCGATATTACAAAGGAAATGGATGTGTGCACAATAAACCAAGGGGAGGACTGCAGGGAGGTTGATGGTCGGATTCTGACCTGGTGTAAATCCACTCTGTGGTGCTGTGTTCAGCATTTCTGTGCAGTGAAGAGTATCTCTCATAGTCCCTGTCCAGCAAGCCTGGGGTGAACTACCAACATGAAGAATAGTTGCAGAGATAAAAATAGCTTCAAAGAGATATGAGAAGATGAATCTGCTGTTTTGTATTCATACTGTGACTTCAGGAGTCAGACAACCTGAGTTCAGAGACAAGTTTAGATATGGATTTCTTAGCAAACATTTTACCCAGCAGACTTCTAATACCCAAGAACAGATATCAGATATGCTTTATTTTGGTTATTTTGGTGCAAGTCTTGCTGCTGAGGAAATAATGTTTCTCTTTTTTTTCTTTTTTTTTTCTTTTTTTTTTTTTTTTTTTTTTTTTTTTTTTTTTTTTTTTTTTTTTTTTTTTTTTATATTGCATTTTATTTGTCAGTTTATGCCTTCTAAGCTGAGTCTGCATACCACAAGGATTTCCAGCAAGATATGTAGTGCTCTGTTTCACATAATTTTCTCTACATTCCAGCCTGACTTCATTATCATTGTTAATTTAGAAAGTATAAGCAGTTTTAGAGATCATTACCATGCAGGCTACTTTATAACAGTAGTATTATTAGTTTTTAAAACAAACATATCTGAATTCTCATGCTAGTTAAATAGATGCTGCTTGTGGAAACTCAAAATCTAGGTGTGTAGCAGCAAACACTTTGGAAATACAGATCCATGGTATTGCCAGGGGTAAAAAAAAAATATATATATATATATAAAAAATGTGCCTGAGGATTTCACTGTTGTCTAGGTCTAATAAGAAAGCTATATGAATCTCCTACATAAAATGATCTTCCTTAAATCTCACATTTCCAGGCATTTTACATGCAGCCTACCCAGCCCAGCTGCTCCTCATCATTAGTTATCACTAGAATATTTCAAACAACAGCAGCCCATGTTTCTCCCCATAAACATATAAACAGAACAAAGGATCAGTTATGTCAGTGCATTCAAATAAAAAATAAATACATTTTTTAAAAATATTTTTACTAGCAAAGAGAAAAAGAGAATAATAACCATGCAAATAAAAAAAAATCCAGAAACTTTCACCACACACAAGAAAACAGTCTAACAACACTGAAAACACCTGCTCTCTGAAACTGTTAGGTAGGTCCTGAATTTGCTGGCCAAATTTTGAGGGTAGAAAATTATTTCTATTTTATTATTTCTATTTTATTATGTTTTTGTACAAAAGTGGTCTAGGGCAAATATTTTCTGAAGTTCTTTTAACTCATGTAAAAGCCTCCAGCAGAAATAATCACCTGAAGAACCATCTAAAACATGCATGCTTACTCTCCAGAGCCCCGATGGACATCTAATTCAGGCTGTGCCTCATAAACTTGCTCGAAACCTTCAGATGGTCATATGCAGTTCACAGAGCATAATCAGCTCAAGATGAAGTGTCCTACTACAAATGACAGCTGCTTTTTGTTGTTTTTTTTTTTTTTTTAACTTGCTTTCAACTTTGAAAGACACTATTAAATAATCCCAGATATATTGCACTGCAGATGTCTGAAAACAAAATACCAGAAGCATAAATTATTGTAGTATCTGTAGCCAGTGGAAAAAATTGAAACATCTAAGAAGCACATAGAAAACAGTTGACAGCTGTTGTTTCAAGACTGGCTGGGAAGCAAATGTGTACCATGCAAGGTATACACCTATATATATATACAGGTATATATTCTATAAGGGTGTTAAATAGACTTTACATCACAGCTTCCCGTGATTGCCCAGAGCTCTCCAATTCCTTCCTCCTTTTCCAGGGTGGGGGGCAGTGAGCACATGGGATGAAATTTTGTAGTGTCGCAATGCAAATAAAAAAGGCTTCAGATGCAAAACTGCTGATTATAATCTTGGCTGTCCATGTTGATACTCAGGTGGACCGTGTTGGTCCTGACTCTGTTAACACAGCCATAAAGAAAACATACTTCCAACACAATCAAATGCATTTTCTAATGTCACCTGAAAGAAGCCACCATATCACTTGTCCTGGGAAAATCTCTATGTAAAATGTGGGTTTAAATAACTTGTTCCTTACAAAGCATAAATAATATTGATCTTTCTGAGTGAGCACAATAAGACAGTATCTTACTAGAAAATAAAGATAATTTCTAGATTTCAATAGTAGTTGATACAGTAAGAAAGATAAGAAACAATAGTTTATTATCTAATATTTATTCCAAGAATCCAAGTAACAAGTCCTGTAACAAATCAGCAAGTGGGATATTCCTGGATATTCCCCACAGAGAAAAACTGGTTTTAATTTTAACAGAAAGAAGAATATTTCTGTTGCAGATGGAATATGAGACAAGTTCAGGAGATGAAAACATGAGTGACTGATTTATCAAAAAGTCTTTGCAAGGATGCCATAAGAACAAATCAAATTTACAACAGTGATGATCATTAGAGAGGAGTAAAGCACTAGCATGGTCTGTGACTTCAGCAATAACAGGTGATTCCAGCTGGGCAGGTCCAGACTGACCCCGGCCAATGAAAGGTATAAATGCCATGGAGTGCAGCAGCACAAGCAGCTATTTCTGAACTCTGCCCCCAGAGAAGGGCAGTAGTCAAGTCTGATTCTGATTTACATTCTCACATTACTGCAGCACTAGCAGGCTCAGCTAGTGTCCTGCTGTGCTCTGTGCTGTACACACAGGACAAAATGACACACCCTTGTTAAGAGAAATTTCCTTTTTGTTTGCAATAGCAAATAGCCCAGCCAATGCTGTAAATAACAGAAGAAACCTAACAACTCTAGGAGGGTTACCCAGCATGCTGTAATTACACAGGGGACTTTGAACAATAGATCCTCATTAGCTGGCAGGTAAGTAATGCACACAACCTGTAATCTTCCTGCAAAAGAGGGTGGTAGCCATTCTCTATTTCTCAACAGGGGGTTAACAGTGAAGACAAAGCTGTACTGAAACTTCATGCCACCCGTATTTCCTTACTTTGTATCATATGCAGTGTAAGCGTGGATAATTTATACTGAGAAGAAACCTGGTAATTGCAATGAACAATGCATTGCATTAGCTTAACTGGTTTTAGTCATTCGTATTTGAATACTCACCGATTTTCCATGTTCAGCTATTCCTGAAGAGCTGAGCTCTTTCACTCAGTAAGTAGAGTAAAAGAGAATATTGCAGTTAGAATTTTTTGTAATTATATGACCATCTCTTACTACGCATCCCACCACCTAACAATGCAGCAGCAACACAGCATTCAGTCAGAAAAATTGGTACTTTTCATTTATTCTGTTTATTTTAGGCTCTTTAAATATTTTTCAGTAACTGAGGGCACAGGGAAGCATTATGTGATACAGTAATGTGAGAAACATATAAGATAGATTCAGGAAACAGAGCATTTACTCTAAATTGTTCAGAAGCAGACATCACTTTCCAAACCATAGATCTAACAGAAATGGGTTTCCATTACCCTTCACTTTTCCATCTTTCTTTCCACCTCATACACTTTAGAGGAAGAGCTTTCTCCTGCTACTTCATGATTCAACAGAGCCCTGTCTATGTACAGTGGTGGAACCATGTACAATATTGGGCACAACACTATTTTAAACACAGTAATACTATAGAATAAAATACAATAAAACCCATAACTTTTCCCTCAGAACTGTCACTCATTTATTGAGATCTCTGTGCACATCTTCATTAATAACTCCACTCACAAGTGGTACTGCACAAATGAACTCTTTAGTGAGTACTCTATGTTCCAGCACTCCAGGGTAAAATATACACAGTAATTAGGATATACTTGACAGCCCTCTCCCCTTAACACTCTGAAATGTTAATGTTAAGGTCAAGTGAAGAAAGTAAAACCATAAAAGAATATATCTTACCACTGTGCAGTAGGGCAGGAGAGGGAACACAGCAGTGCTGCTAATAGAAAATGGGCCAGAGGGT